CTAGAAATGTTTCTGAGAGGTGAAACGTAGTTTTCGTTATTTCCGAGTTTAATTCTCTGTTTTTTTATTTTTTTATTTCTATCTTTTTTTTTTTTTTTTTTAATCGAACAAAACGTATTTCTATGTACCCACACATATATATACAGGAGGGAAATTGAAGTCGGAATCGAAGCAAATTCATTCAATGTATTTTACGATTCTCGAATAGGATTTTCGAAAATGTTTTTAACCGCTAATCACGATTAAGAGTACGCAACAATCCAAATTGGGTACATGCGATACTGTAAAGTGGTAAAATGGATTGTGAGATTAGTGTAATTGTGGAATTAAATGAAAGATATATATATATATATATAAATCGAACGGATATCGTTGTAATTAAAAATCAATTAGACGTGATCGTATTTAAGCGACTAAACTCGGTTTTCCAAGTTCGTAATTCGATATGAAATTTTTTTAAGCCAACTCTTCATACACATTTTATACGTTTTGATTTAATAATAAAAAAAAAAAAAAAAAGATAATAAATTATTTCAATTAATATACTACGTTACGTAAGATAAAATCAAATAATTCTATTTAATAATATTTTATTTCTATTAAACCTTACGAAATCGTTTGGATTAGTAAAAATAATGAAAAAAAAAAAGAAAGGAAGAGGAAGGAAATAAAAATAATAAAAGCAAAGACCCATTATCGAGAGATCTGGAAATGTTTGCGATGTTTCCGTGCCGAAAAAGGCTTCGTTGCATTTGCAGTAGACTCAAGGGGGAAAAGTCCGTGGGGGTGGGTGGGTGTGAACAAAGAAACGATAGAGGAAAATAACGAGAACGATTGATCGAGTCGTTAAGAAAAGTGTTACGGTAAAATGATGGAGGCGGCCGTTGGCATGGGATGGGATGGGATGGGATGGGATGGGATGGGATGGTGGTGGAAGTGGTAGAGGTGCTGGTGGCGATAAACGAAGTAAGGAAGGAAGCTGGATGGATGCATTAAGTTTTTGCATCGGTGCTCGGAAATCGCCTGCAACACGGTACATGAAGAAATACTAGCAGAAAGATTTCTTCCTCCTCTTCTTCTTCTTCTTCTTCTTCTTCCTCTTCTTCTTCTTTTCCTCCTCGGCCAGTTCGTTACTCTCACCTTCTCTTTTTTTTTTTTGTTTGTGTGTGTTTTTTTTTTTTCATTTTATTTTTCTTCTTCTTTGCGTTTCTCCATTCATCTCGCGTTCAACGAGTTTCGAGGAGTATTCGTCTCTTCTCTGTGAGTTTATTGCAAAAAGAAATTCTTTCTTAACTTCTTCCTACCTATTCCACCACCTCCCCCCCACTCTACCAAACGAAATACTTTTTCTCAATTTTTCTTCGAGTCATTAATTCCGTGTCTTTTTTTCTATTTTTTTTTTTGTTCTCTTTTTTCTTCTTCTTCTTCTTTTTCATCTTTTCCCTTGGTACGCGTACATTTTCTTCTTACTCAAAAGAGAAACACCGATGTAAAATAGAATTGTAATTTTTTTTTCTATGATAAAACACGAGATAAATTTAGCCGAGTAACACGGCTACAAAGAAATTCTTGTTTTGTAATTTTCTTTTTTTTTTGTTATTTTATTTATTTATTTTTTTTTTTTAAACTCTTAAGAGAGTTATCCGATAAAACGTATGTGTACGTGTTCCTGTATTTTTTTATTTTATTTTTATTCTACGTTCATTCTCAATGAAGGGTCGTCAGCGTCGAGAAACTCGAAACGATACGCCGTTAATGGAAGCCGCGTTATCAGATGAGAGGGCGGTGTGTTAAGTACTTTTGTAGCTGCGTTGTGCTCGAGAAAACACCCTGTAAAAGCGCGCGAGAGAGAAAGAGAGAAAAAGAGAGAGAGAGAGAGAGAGAGACAAGAAATAATTAGTCTGGTCGGTTGGTTGCTTGCCCTTTCCCTTTCTCTCTCACTCTCTCTCTCTCTGTATGTACGAAACGAGTAAAACTGAGAGAACGAACGAATGAGAAAAGGACAGAAAAGGAAATCCCTTCGCGTACGTAAGCTCAATTTTTGCACGGAAATTCAAGCGAAAAAGGGTGCGTCCTGTATTTTCTGTCTTCTTACCCTCTAACCCCTTCTACCCTTATTTTTTATTTTTTATTTTTGTTATCAACCTATCTCCACCACTGGCTTCCTTTTTACGCGTGTTACCAGTTTGCCATGTTTTTTTCTCTCTCTCTCTCTCTCTCTCAAGAGAGACATGTGTATAAGGAAAGAGAGAGAGAGAAAGAGAGATAAAAGAAAAAAGAAAAAATTGAGAATTTTGTTTTAATTTGAAACTTGTAAAGATAAAAAAAAAAAAAAATAAAAATAAAAAAAAGTTAACACACCTCAGTTGATTAATATTTAATTGCTAGGATGAAGGAGTAACTTTGTATGATAATTCGTGAATTAGGATTATTTGAAATATTTCAAAGTTTGTTCGAACAAAGTAACAAATGAAAAAGAGAGAGAGAGAGAGAGAGAGAGAGAGAGAGAGAGAAAGTAGGCGTGTTCTAAAAGGCGTGAAAATTTATTTCTCGAATTTATTTTCATTTCTAACTTTTTGACGATAAAACGAAGGAAACACTTTCAATGAACGATGTTTAAACTCTTTTTTTGCTACATCGTTGAACGATTCAACTTCTACGACAAAATTGTGTGAATTATTTCAAGTTATTATATGATTTTTCTTCAAAAACGCGTATTACTACTTTTATCATTTCAAACGCAAATTATAGACAATGGTTTAAAAAAAAAAAAAACAAGAAATATAAAATGAAGAAGAAATGTTCATAGTGCGCTAAAGTAACTTCCTATTATAATATCTATCTAAATTATGAGCTTGTAGAACGTTTCAAAGTTTATTCATTACGCAAAGAGTGTGAGATAAAGTTGGTGTAAGAGTGAGAGTAAAAATTAAATTGTGTTGGAACGTTCTAGCAGTATAAACGTTTACTCACAATTTCATTTTAATTTCGAGCTAATAAATTCTTCATAAAAACAAAAACAAAATAGAAATAAATAACACATTAGACGATCAATATATATATTGTACAATTACGATTAAAATAACATACCGTGGAAATAAATTAATACGTAAACGAGATATATTTGCATAATAGACATAGGAAAAGTTATTTCAACCTGTATAGAGATCTGTTTTTTTGTTTTTTGTTTTTTCCTGATCGTTAAACCCAGCAATGAAGGAAGAAATTTCGCTTGTTGTGCACCGAGAGAAGGGGTAGAATATTCGAAGGTTTATTCTGCAGCAGGGTGAGGAGATTCAAAGAAGAAGCATTTTGTCCATAAAATCGCGTTAAAGAGCAAAGTTAGGTTTATCGTAAACCTCGAACAAGAATTACTATGAAGAGGACCTTCTCTTTGTCATGTATTCCTCACGCGTGAGTAAAACAACAACAACAACGGCAGCAGCAGCAGCAGCAGCAGCTGATCGGACGGAACGAAATGCCGTATATTTGCGGGTTCGTTGCTGACACGTCGAAAACGAGGGCCCGCGTACGTTCATCCCTGCAACTGCAACCTGCAACTGTGTGTATGTGTGTCTGTGTAACCTCTTTCACTCACAATACACTTACACATACAAACACGAACTCTGTGTGGTTGGAGGCGCAGTATTCTACGTTGGTAACTCCGTTGTTTGATTTGAGTTACTGTTTTCATCTCCGCGCATCTCCGATACAACCACCACCACCACCACCATCACCACCACCACTACCACTACCACCACCTCTTCCAACCCTCTCATTCACCTCCTTCCCCTATTCCTCTTTCACGGTTATACTTGCAGCATCCTCCGCAGCTGCGTAGCCCGTGGGCTAAATCCCTGAAAGCAAGCTAATGCTGGATTCTCTCTACTTCGTTATCCCTATTGGATCATCCCCGAGCTCAGGACGACGTAAATTCTCCAAGTCAACGTATACACATGGTTATTTACTGAATTTCATATACAAACCATTGTCTCTTTTTACCATTTCATATCATCTTCCTTCTATTTTTGTTTTTTTTTCTTAGTCAGATTTTATTTTTTTCCCCGTTCACATAAATTTAATTTTTGTAGAATATTCCACATATTTCCAATGATACGAATGACATTTTTCTTTTTTCGGCGATATTTATTCGATTATATTTTTCTCTCTTTTATGAAATCTTTGCTTAGAATTGTAAGAATATATATATATAAGGGGAGGATGATACTAATTTGCATGTATATCACAAGGTAAACTATAAAAAGGAATGGATATATGTTTTATTCGTTACGTAGAAAACACAAATCGCGATGAAGTTTGAAAAGAGTTCTTTGTATCTTTTTCTGTGAAAGTTAAAAGCAAGCACAGTCACGAAATCTAAAATCTTCTTGGTAACAACCTTCCTAACTTTTCAAGGGATTCTTCTTCTTCTTTTTTCTCTTTCTATCTCAATTCTTGATCTTTATCTATTTCTATTTCTTTCTTTCTTTCTATCCTAGAAGAGTGTCGTCTAATTTAATTCCAATAAACTGGCGCGGTTTAATGGGATCGTCTTTGTTTCGGTTGAAACTTCAGCCGAGTAGGAGCAACTAGTTATATAAGTGGGATAAAAAGTGCACTTTTCTTTTTTTTTTTTTTTATCATTTCTTCTTTCTTTTTCTTTTCTTTATTTCTTCACTAAAACGAAGAGAGAGAGTGAATAAAAAGGATTCTTCTCGTACGTACTCAAACACAAAGTACTCGAAAGTCAAAGCGAAGATTTCCATTTAACCCGATTTATTTGACGAATATTAAATGAAACTTTCATCAATTCTGTATTCTACAATTTTTCATGATTATAACATCTTTGAAATATAGACGTATATTTATTCGTCAATCGATCTGACTGATATTCTAATAAATAAAAAATGTAAATCGGGTCAACAACAGTAATGTACGAGTATATTTGACATCAATATTAAATTCATGATGATATATAATTTATGAATGATTGTTTTTAGAAAGAAACCCTAATGCAACCCTGACGCAACCCTGACGGTTGCTGTGTGCAAACAACAAGGTTGTTGTCTGCGAACAACAAGATTGCTCTTTATTGGCGCATTAACGGAATTTTTGTTGCGGTGCCATGGCGTTAATACGTAAGTACCATTATTTCTTATTAAGATCTAGGATTTTGTCATTAATTAACTCAACTATATATACACTATATATATATAAACATAAAGTTTATACAAACACATGGAATATTTGTATTGCACTAAAGGATTTTCTCGTGACAAGTTGAAAGTGTAGTAAAAGAAGAGTTCTCGATACGAAAGGAATACCGTTTTCGATGATGTGATATAACAGATAGATAGATAGATAGATAGGTATACGATCAAACAACAGTTCTAGCTAGTACTAGTACTACTACTACTCGACAATGTTCTACTAGTCGAACAAAGAGTGTACGAGCGCTAAACTCATGCCATTGTGCCGATGTTTGTTCGTAGAAACGTTCGATGGAGGCTAACACGGTGCTTGCCCAGAGCGAAGAGAGAAACATGGATGATAGGTCGGGATAGTCCTCGTTGTTTCCGGTGAGAATATACACACACACACACAAATACATACACATACATTGAGCAAAGAAGAAACGGATTCTCTCTTTCTCTCTTTCTCTCTTGTTTGGGGGTTTCTTTGTACAATTTTAAACGAGGATATGTACTGAGAGTATGTTTCTCACTTGTATAATTATTTTCTCTTTTTTTTCTTGTTCTTTGAGGTATTAAGTCAACTTTGTGAGTAGTAGTAGTAGTAGTTTCGTTATTGGACGTTTATTTGATTCACTTTCATTTTTTTTTTCTATCCTTCCTCTTCGTTGAATTGATACGTTTAAATCCTTTTTATCTTGAATAAGAAATATCTATTATTTGAACGAACACCCGTTATATGATACTTCTACGATTAAGTGTTTTTCTTACGATGCTATAATTAAACATAAATATTATTTGTCATTGTGAAATAAAATCTTATTTATAAACGATTCCATTTCAAATTGACTATTAATTAAAATAATCCTATTTTATTTTATTTTAATTTGTTAATTAATCCAATCAAAATTCATAAAAATATCTTTAATAATTTTAGGTGTTGAAAATCTTTTATCAATGGACAAAAAAAAATGGAGGTCACGGTGTTATGATTCACCCTATACACAATGGGTCGAAATGTGTCAAAAAAAAAAAAAAAAGTGGAACGTCGTTGGAGAGGATAACCGTTCAAGGATGCTGCAACGAAGAAAGGAGAATGATATGTGTAGAATGAAAAAAAAAAAATAATAAAAAGGGAAAAGTGGTGGGAGGTTTGCGCGTGCCTTTTAAAAAGTTCACCAAGAAAGAACACGTTATAAGGTGTCTTCTGCTTCAGCGAGTCACAGTTACCGTGTGTGGCTTCCACGTTCCAAACCTTCTCTCTCTCTCTCTCTCTCTCTCTCTCTCTCTCTCTTCATTCACCCTATCCTTCCTCCTTTTAACACCCTACACTCTACATGAGATATAAAAGTGCATTTGAGACTCGGCACAGCCCTAAGGCTCTCTGCCAGACCATGGAAATACGTACGAGAGTCTTGTAAAAGAACCTACGAGGAAAACTACCCCCTTTCTACCCCTCCCATTTCTCCCATATCTTTATCTCTCTCTCTCTCTCTCTCTTTTTCTTCTTTACTATTCGATGTGTATATATATGTATGTATATATCTGAATGTTCATTGGTATTCGGTTGATACATTCATCTCTTTCCTTCTCACACTTTCTTATACTTTCTCACACTTTCTTATTATCTCTCTCTCTCTCTCTCTCTCTCTTTTTCTCTTTTTCTCTCTTTTTGACTCTTATTTTCTTTCGCATGAGCATAGGTGTTCGACGTAACCGAAGATTTATGATTCACTCGACGTTCCTTTGAGACGAAGATACCACGGAGAAAAGAAAATTACTGCAAAACGCACGAATTCGAGAGAACACTCTTTGAAGAAACTTCCTATCGATTCTACTCTCTCTCTCTCTCTCTCTCTCTCTCTCTATCTTTCTTATTTTTTTTTCTTTGATATTTCTTTTTCTTTCTTTCTTTCTATACCGTCTGTTTTTCTATCTCGTCGACTCTGAACGAAATGTTCTTCGCTTAATATCAAGACGATGACGACGACAACGACGACGAGAAACTGTCTTTCGAGAGAATCTTTCTCTCTCTCTCTCTCTCTCTCTTTCTCTTTCTTCTTTCTCTCTTCATTTTTACAAGATACCTTAGAGCTATCGCTCGTATGTCACGTGGAAATTTTTATCACGGATAAATTTTACCGAAGAGAGGAAGAAAGATCTTTTCGAGCGAATGAATTTCCACAAGCAAGCAAACGCATCACGCTACTACTACCACTACTATTACTACTACTACTATTACTATTACGTGTATAGAGTAACGTTGTTTTATTTTCTGGATTATTAAACTGTTTTAATTTTCTTTTAACCTTTTTATATACCCCCTTTCTGTTTCTATTCCTATTCATTTCTTGTTTCTTCCTTAGTATTACTCGGATTCTATGATAACGCGAATTTTGTACGCCGACTGAAACTTCTCTTTTCTTTTCTTTCCTTTTTTTCTTTCTTTCTTTTTTGCATTACCCCTTCGTCGAAAAAAAGAGATTGGCTTTTTATATTATTCGTTCTTCCACCTTCCCTCTACCAACCCCTTTCTTTTTTCCTTTCCTTTCCTTTTCTTTTTTTACGCTTGACACTGGTGCATCGTTTTTATTCGTTTTTTTTTTTTTTTTTATTATAGAAAAAGTACAAATGTAGTTTTGTGATTTATTATATTGCAATTAATATCTCGGATTTTATTTCTTTTCATTTTTTTTTTAGAGATTTGTGCAAGTTTTCTATGACATCATTCTACATATTAGCTTATATATATATATATATATATATATATATATATATTGAATTATCTCTTTGTTATTTTGTTGTCGTTGAACACCCAGTATATGTCAAATCGTACAAGTAACACTCTCGTATTTTCTAAATGTTCTCTTTCCTCTTCTATCCTCATCCCACAACCAATTTCGTCTGGCCTAAGAGAGATATTCATAGAAAAGAGAAAAGGGGTCTTCTTCGTCTAACTTTACAAGCTATTCGTGATTTCCTGTAAAGATCTGTAGGGAGGAGGAGGAGGAGGAGGAGGAGGAGGATGGCAGAGGGCAGAACAGAGAAAGGGAAATGAGAAGGGGGAAAAAGGAGTGAAAAGAGAAATAGAGTAAAAGAAATGAGAGTAAGAACTGGTAGAGTTGAAGTAGCAGCATGTAGAAGAGAGAAGGAAGTGTATTTTTAAACCTGACTAACTCTCTCTCTCTCTCTCTTTCTCTCTTTCTCTCTCTCTCTTATCGCAAAAAGAGGAGAATCCATTTTCAGTCTCAAACAAGAGGGAGAGAAACTTAGACTTACGAGTATGATGAGGGCCCCCTACGCGAGAATCGTTCACTGTGTATTTTATACAGTAAAAGGATTATCCTCGTTTGTATACTCAAAAAGTTCTTTGTAAAGTTTTTTCTTTTTTTTTTTTTTTTTTTAAAAGATATGCTACCTACATCCTAATTAACTTTCTACTCTCGAATAGAAGCAATATCAAAATTCTTTATCTTTTTTTTTTTTAAAGAGTACTTTGTAAAAGTAAAGCTTCATAAAAAGAACAACAGAAAAAAAACAAATGAACATTGTATGAATAATTTATCGAACTTTCAGCTTATGATCAAATGGAAAATGCTATAACGTTATTTTTTTTATTTTTTGTTCGTTCTTGTTGTTGCATTATCTTTCTCACGAGTTTAAAAAGGGTTTTACAAATAACAAGCGTTAAGTGTCGTCGTAAGCTTGGCAAATAAAATGTATAGAGATGGTTTAGTTGGTTGGCGAATAAAATCGAAATACGATGCACGTAATTTGAAGTTTTTCTTTAGTAGTATTAGTAGTAGTAGTAGTAACAGTAGCAGGTGTATTTTTAGTAAAAAAAGGGCGCAAGAAAAGTATGGTGGTTGTTAAAGGGATATATCTCTCATTAACTCGATTGGTTAATTGACTTTATCGGTACGTCGGACTCTAATTGACAAAGAAATTTCTTTTCCTTTGGCGGTCATTATCTCACTTTTTTATTTTTTTTTTTTGTACTCCCATGCTTCACGTCTCGTTCTTCTTGTTCCTCTGCTTTTTTTGTTTTTTGTCGTCTTAACAAATAAACAACAACAAATTTGACTCGACGTTTTTACTCATCTTCTTAAGTTCTTTTTTCTTCTTCTTCTTTCATTTGCTGTCTTATAAATACACTCTCTTGAACTTTTTTTTTATTTCTATTTCCTTTTTTTTTTTTTCTAAGTAGCTGTTTGACAGATGATGATGTAAACGGTGCTTCGTTTATAATACTAAGTACTTAACTTATGAGCACTTAAGAGAAGAAATAACACGCGTACGTGGACGCGTCCTGAGAAGTTAAGGGACTATGTTCTTCAAGTAACTTCGTTCAGATATACTTCGTTCACATAATACACACGCGAGGAAAACCAACGAGAAGTTCAGTAGTATTCTAACGTTACTCTATGTCTTTTTGCATAAAGATAGTAACTATACGAATATCTCAGAGCTTTTGAATAAAATATAACCGTGGCGCGTTCGCATCATCTCGCTCGACCGTTCTTCGCATAAGTATAACTCGAAAACTTCATTTAACAAAATATTATTCCATGAGAAATGTAACACACGTAAAAGATCAAACGAACTCGAAGAATATATTATACTAGGGGTGCCCCCCCCCCCACGCGTTGAGGTGGTTCACAATCAGTTCGATACACACACGTCTTTAAGTCAACGAATTACCTTATACCGCCATCGAAACAAATAATTGGCAATAAAATAATATTGCGATTATAAATCGAGATATAGACTATCATATCTTTCAAGTTGGATGAAACTGCACACAGTTTGCAAAATTTGATTAAAATATATAAATATATATGCTCGTGTAATTATGAGTTTTCTTTTGTTTCCAATACGTTTAAAAAAAAGAGAATAAAAATAAGTCTTGGTAATTTAAACGCTAAAAAGGTGTCTCAACGAGAGATGGGGGTGGAGGAATTCACGAGTCCGTTAAATTGGCCATTTCTCGTAGAGATAAACGAATTGAATTTCTTCTTCCTACCACCGCGAGGCAAAAACAGGAAAAAAAAAAGGAAGAAGAAGATGATGATACAATTTAAAGACCCAGCTGACATTAGCAAGAGAGAGAGAGAGACAGAGAGAGAGAGAGAGTCCCACGTCTCGATTAAAAAAATGTCGAATAAATTCGACGAGCCATGAGTTCGTCGTCAAGCCATTAAATTTGCAATTTTGCAATATTTCGCTAGTTAAAGCTCGAATCTGGGTAATTTAAAGAGAAATCGGATGGGCTTCTTTCCTAAGGATTCACGAATCTGTTCATTCGAGTAACGGGGTGAAGAGGTGAGGGGGTGGTTATAGCCCCGGATTGCGATAGGGTAACCAAACCCCCTCGAGAGACGTTGCAACCTCTGAGCAACCGTTCGGTGAATTTATCCTTTGGCTGCCGAATCAATTTCCGGCGAAGCTCCATTAACGATCGGATGTGTTGGCTGAGAGTTCAAGATGGGTTGGTTGGTTGGTTTGGTTCGTTGGTTTGGTTCGTTGGGTAGTGGGAGGAAGGAGGTGAGTGAGCAAGTGAGTGAGTGGGTGGTTGGGTTTAGGTGCTTTTGCTAGAAGTGGGGGAGGGGGGCCAAAACGATAGTAGTGTAACGGTGCGTTCAGGTTTCGTACTTTCAACGGGGACTCCCCCGTTGTAGACTTCGAACTACACGAGAGAGATCCTTCGCGAATTTATATTCGCACGAACGCCCGGCACGTCGCCGAGGAATTCCATTAATCGACGCGAAGGCACTTCGAGAGAAGGACCGAGCTAGGTGGTAGGTAGGTAGGGTACCGCCGGCTTTATAAATGGCGGTAAACGTCGTTTAAGCTTGGATTTATACGAACAAGAGAGAGAGAGAGAGAGAGAGAGAGAGAGAGAGAGTGACTGAAAGAGAAATATTTGGAAAACGGATAAATTCCGCAAAAGCGAGTTTCTCCTCCTGTCGTTGACGACGCGATAATTATTATTCTTGCCTTTCGAAAGGTTTTGCTCTAGGAAAGATATT